GGTAGCGACAACGGTCAAGTCGCGCTTCTCAAGATAAGTTGCGTTGATACCTTCGACGTAAAACTTTGCCTTTGACTTTTCGCAGTCGGAGGCCTTGAGGGGAAGGGTGTGGTCTTTGTTGGTGAGGAGGGTGATGGATTTCTTTTGGGCTTCGAAACCAGCGGCGACCCACTCTGGTTTTCCGACGTTGGCGACGGCTTCGTCGACATTGACGAAGGGGTTGTCGAAGAGGCCGAGGATGAACTTCTCGCGGAGGAGACGGCGGACTGACATGTCGATTCGCTCTTCGCTTATGATGCCCTTCTCCACCAGCTCGAGAACCAGGTCGGTTCGCTGCTCACCACCCATTTGGTCGGTGCCAGCGTTGAGAATCTTCTCTGCGCGCTCGAGTTCGGTCAGGTTCTCGGCACCCCAGGCACGAGCGGGCATGTCTTGTCCGGCGATGATGCCATCGGTGATGAGACCCCAGTCACTGACGACGATGCCGTCGAAACCGAGTTCGCCACGGAGAAGATCGGTGACGATACCCTTGTTCATTCCAGCAGCGACCTCTTCGTACTTGGTGCCCATGGGCCTCGAGTAGTACGGCATCATCTGCCTCGCGCCAGCTGCGATGGCCGCCTTGAAGGGAATAAGGTGCATTTCGAAATTGTTTCCGGGATATGTGGCGTTCTTGCCGTAGGTGAAATGGCTGTCTTCTCCGTCCTGGACGGGTCCACTTCCGGGAAAATGCTTGGAGACGGTGGTGACGGAGTCCTTTCCAAATTCACCAGGGCCGTGGAAGCCCTTGATGTAGGAAACGACAAGCTCAGCGGTCAATGTAGCGTTCTCGCCCATCGTGGTGGTGATCCTAGCCCACCTGGGTTCGGTTGCTACATCGATTTGAGGATGCAGCGCAGACCTGATACCGACAGCCTTGTACTCTTGTCGTGCGATATCCGCAAAGGTGTGTACGAGCTCAGCATCACGGATTGCTGCCAAGCCTAAGCTACCTGGCCACTGCGAGAACTTGATCGCCGCAATCTGACTACCAGTGGCATCAACGAAGGTGTGTCGAGGATCTGAGGAGAGTGTGATTGGGATACCGAGCCTGGAGTCCAAAGCCAGCTGCTGGAGACTGTTGTAATATTGTGCAGTTTGGCGTACATCGGTGATCGCACTGTTAAGGTTGAAATGTGTCATGTGCAACCCTTGGATTGCTGATGAACTAGAGTTCGTCACAGTTCCATTGGGACCTGGGAAGGTGATTTGCTGGAAGAGTTGTCCGGCCTTCTCTTCCATGTTCATGCGCTGAATGAGGTCCTCTACACGCTCATCCACTGATAGCGATGCATCCCGGTATGGTGCGGAGTCCATTTCTGTTGATCGTGATGTCATCCGTGGGTATGTTGAACGACTTGAAACCGGAGTGCGGATGGCTGTTGACATTGCTGTTGCAGCGAAGAACAGCGTTGTGAAGGTGTTCAGCTTGCGCTGACTGCGGTTGCGAGCGACCATCTTGCCGGATGTGCGAGTTTAGGCAAAAGGTGGAGGATGGATTCAGATGCTACTGGCCACTCGGTATACGGATGTGTACCAGGTATTTGTACTCCGGCTTCACACACCCCGTTACGATGCTCCGCCATCATGTGCGCCACATCCGAAGGAAAATGAAGTCTTGTGTCTGCTTGGGGAAACTTCGGATGGACCGTTGGCTTGGAACATGTGCTAACTACCAGCCTTCCTCTAGGCTTGGCACAGTCGAGATTGCCATAAGTTGGAGCCGACGATTGCCAAGACGATGCGTGTGGAGTGCAGTGTGGGGAAAACGTGGGTCGGGGTAAAGCCCCCGAAGCTACCACCCCATTCTCCGTCGAATGCTGGTCCGGCAGATTGATGATTGGATGCACGGCCACGCTACGAATACTAATGACATTTAACGAACGGTTTGACACACCCTTTCGAGCTGGTAGTCTTGTTGTCATGTGAGCAAGTGAAAAATTGCGCATGCTGGGTAATGACATGCAACTCCACATCCCGCTATGCTCACTGACTCGATGTCCACAATTCACAGTGCCGGCGGCATTTGAAAAACGTCCGATACGGGGGTGTGCCGCATGCCGGTCGAGAAATATTGATGTTTTTACGAGAGCAATCATGGATTCAGTATGTGTGCTCTTGATGAAAATAGGCTGGTCGAGGCAGGCGAAGTAGATGCAAGCAGTGCCTTCCTTGCCGTAGCTGAATCGTCGGTGAGAAATTCGATGTCGTCGCAATGTCTGGTGCACTGATCTCGTATCTCGGCCCAATTCCTTGAGCCGTGCTTCCGGTACAATGAGGGTACCAAGGCCACCCCCACCGTCTCCGCCATCGCAAGGCTAGTTTTGTTAGCACTGTAACTATACCAGCGTACCGCCATTCCATGGCGGAGGTACTCACTGCTTTCCGGTACACATCCGCACACCACTAGAGCGATTCTAGAACCAGGTGTCTACTCCTGCTAGCTCTTGTATGTCTTGACTCAAACGCTTTCCTGGCGTTCATTTCAACAGGTCAGGGAAGACCGATGCAGATTGTACGTCGTCATCTTACACACTGTCCCCTGCCGTGCGCTTTGGTAATTAAAGCTTGTCTTTATGCGGCTGAATGTTAGCTTGGAGTTCGGCGGTGGTGCAAACAGTCGGAACGTTTCTAGTGACGGTATAGGCTTTTGCTTACCTTGTCAGCTGCGCCGCAATCTTTCATCGTAAGGGACTAAAGACTTCCCGTCTCGCACAACAACATCGAGATTTTGATGATATGAGGCAGTCTGCCTCAGTACATGCACGCGCAAGTACCCACTACTTCGCAGCGTCTGCTCGACTCGCAAGCGTGAACAAATCACACCTCGCACGAATAACGCCTATGCAGCAGGAGCCAACAGCGCCAAAGCAACCCCATATGCCATATGCCGCGCGCGATGCCGATGAAATAGTAAAGCGCACTACGTCGGATCGGAAGCGCGTAGCCAGTCCATGCTGGAGAAGAAGTGCTAGGATAGCGCGAGTCCGATGGTCGGTCCAGGCTAAACGCTGCTTGGCAAATGCTTGGAAATTCGGGCCTGGCCCTCGAGACGATGGGCTGGGAGAAAAGAATACATGATGGAGTAGCTGACGAAGACAGAGAGATGATGGAGAAAGGAGTGGAGATGAAGAGATACGACAGGAATGAGAATGACGTGATCGCTGGCATGCTCTGTTGACCTGGCCGCACGCCGCGCCTTTTGCCAGCTAATTGCTTCTCGCCTTGTACCTTTGGCGAGGATCTTGATAAAGACGCCTGTTCTTGGGATGGAGGTGCGCTCTAAGTGTAACGACGCGACGTTGTCGAGAAGTCGTCATCTAGTGCTTACCGGTGTGCTGGTCCTGGGGCGTCATTGTGGGGTTAGCGAGCCATAGCAGGAAGGTGCGACGTAAAACAACAAAGACAATTCTGGTCGCGATAATCGCAATGGAGGCATTACTATAAGGGATGTATGTTAGTATTTTTATGTCAACAGGAAAAATTCGGCCAAATGTGAAGACATTTCGTGCAAGTCCAAGCTGTGGTAGATGCTGTCATCCAAGTAGCAGTAATAGCGCTCCGACAACCACTGTAGTAGAACCAACATCGCAAACCACGTGGGTTTTGTATCCATCATTACTAGTCTTGTTGTTCCGTGATATATCCGAACAGTTTCGCATCCCACTATGGGTCTGCAACTGACGTAACTCGTCCGTCGCGCACGCTACTCCGTGGTTTGATGCTCTCTGACACTGGGCCGTAAGGCTTTCCCTTCGCCGGCCCTGGAGCGCAGGTATCATACCCTACGTCGCTAGGTGATGATGGAATCTGTAGACGTTACAGCCTGTCTCTCTTTCAACCAAATCGTTTGCCATATCCTTTGACCACACCATCCAGTATAGTGCGCATCCTCTTGCACCCCTCAATACCCACCGCCAACATACTCTCTAGCCTCTCCATTCTGACCCTACTCTCCATGATACAAACAGCAACGTTATCGCTCTCTCCCAGTGTTCCGACCGTTAAGAATGGCAACTCTAATTCTTCCTGGTTGTTCAGATCTAACAACGGATCATCCGCACTCGCATTGTCTGCCGCGCTCGCACTTGCCGAACTTGCCGCCGTACAAGCCACAAGATAATCCGTCATTGGTATTCCAGCGTCGATAAGCGCCAGCGTACTCGCGTTGATACACGCCGCTAACAAACTGCCGTCCTGGCTGATGATGTGCACATTCAACGTGATTGTCGAATGCGGGTAAAGGTGCAATAACAGCACACCCCCAAAGGCCTCCCTCAGACAATGCTCCATCTCGCTTGTCCTTTTGTCACTCTTCCTCTTCCTGCGCTCTACACCAGAGAAGCCAGCAAAATTGATCTCGACTTCCACTTTGGCGAGCTTGTCGGCGCCGCCTCGTTGCCCGCTTTGCTTGCCTTCTGCGGGGCCTGTCACGGATACAAGGATCTTGGTGTTGCCCATCTCTAGGTACGAGGAGCCATCAGCGGCGGCTTGCGTGGAGATTTGCGCGTGGATGCGGCGGAGTTCGTTCCAGCGGCGGCCGTCGAGGCGGAGGAGCGCGAGGGAGTAGGTGCTGGTGTCTAGCGGCATTTTGGCGATGTCGCAGAATGTGGGAGGTACTAATTGTCACGCAACACTAGGTTCGGCTTTAAATTTGGTTTTGGATGTTTGTAAGCGTGCAATTGCGCGCGATGATGTAGACGTCAAGGCTCGAGCTCCAGATTTTGGCTGGAAGTTCTTGCAGGGATGCTCTGTTAGTCCCGCCCCGCTTTCACGTGAGAGCGCGTTAGCGCGTTTGCGCAGCTTGGTGGCGCCTTCTGACTTCCCTTTCACTCCCGCCTCACGTGCATCTTTCCATGGCAATCGCCGTGGGCCGTGACTGTGCATAAGGATGTGATACAATTTCGGTCAAGCGTTGCTGCCAGTGACTAGCTCAACAACTCCTGGTCGCCTCATCCATCATGCCATCTCGCGATAAGTCCCAGCATCACGAAAGAGCGATCAAAGCCTTTGGCGAGAGCGGGGAGGACGAGGATGACGGTCTTGACATAATCGAAACATCGCGCAAAGGTCTAGACCTCTCGCAGTATATTGACGGTCAGTCGATGCCTTGCACACCTTTGACAAGATGCTGATATCTGATAGTCCTCACACAAAGCCAGACTCAGTCGCAGAGGGTAGCTGAAGAATCAACAGACGACGAACAGGACGCGCGAAAGCCGGTGTTGTCACGAAATAGAAAGACATCTACTTCCGGTACTGACGATGCTGATTCAGAAGCTGATTTGTTGGCTGATGAATTCGACACTGGTGCTGCCTACAAGCAGTACAAGGGCCGCAGAACTCACAACCGTAAGCGCGTCGCTGCCGAAACCAACAGGATTCGTGCTGCAAAGAAGAGCAAAGCATCGGCTGCATCGAGTATCGTCGGTCGAAAAGCTCAGCCTAAGAAAGACACGGGATATGGTCCGACGGGATTCACTACCGACTCTTTGGGGGATGAGGCAGGTCCTACACCTACTTTCCTGGACGACCCAATCCCCGACTATATCATCTCGCGACAGCGGTCACTAAAGAAGTTGCATGAAGCTGGCCTGCGGTATCCTCCTAGCTATCGAAAGGTTGACTGGTCCGATATTGCCGACACCGAAGAGAAGCCATTGCTTCACAAGGACATCCTGCCGCAACGAGAGAAAAAGGACATCGAACTTCGCCAGTCACATGGTACCATACCCGGGCCCATCGCTCAATGGCTGCGCGACTACCAAGTTGAAGGCGTCCAGTTCCTTCATGACAAGTTCGTCAAGCAGACAGGTGCCATACTTGGCGACGACATGGGCTTGGGCAAGACCATCCAAGTCATCGCATTTCTAACAGCAGCGTTCGGTAAAACGGGCACTGAGCGCGATGCAGCCTGCATGCGGAAGATTCGTCGCTTACCCAAAGAACCATGGTATCCGCGAGTGCTCATCGTGTGTCCAGGTACACTTATGCAAAATTGGGAAGACGAGCTATCAAAATGGGGTTGGTGGAACGTCTCCCGATACCACGGCTCCAGTATAGCCGACCGAAAGGGCGTTCTCGGTGCCGCAGCGAAGGGGTCGCTCGAAATCATGATCACGACGTATACGACATACCGCAATCACGAGAGCGAGATTAACATGATTGACTGGGACTGCGTTATCGCTGACGAGTGCCATCAAGTCAAAAGTAAGAATGCTGAGATTACCAAGGCGATGAATAAGATCAATGCGTTGTGTCGTATTGGTCTAACAGGCACGGCTATTCAGAACAAATACGAAGAAATTTGGAACCTCCTCAACTGGGCACGACCTGGTGCATATGGCTCAGCACAAGAGTGGAAACAGAAGATCAGCCTGCCGTTGAAGTTAGGCCAGGCTCACGATGCTACCAACGCTCAGCTGGCCGACTCGCGAAGCAAGGCCCAAGACCTCGTTCATAACATCCTACCTAGTGTCTTTCTTCGGCGTATGAAGACGCTTATTGCTGATCAATTACCGAAGAAGAGTGATCGCATCATCTTCTGCCAGCTCACCGAGACCCAGGCTGATGCTTACCGAACATTTCTCGAGAGCGACAGGTGTGAGATGATACGCAATGCACGAGAAGAATGCGACTGCGGATCTAAGAAAGGTAGAGGATATTGCTGTCATGTCGAATTTGAAGGTGAGAAGTGGTCAAATTACATCTTCCCTGCCATGATCACATTCCAGAAACTTGCGAACCACCTCGGTTTGATAGTACCAATGTCGAGCGAAAACCAAGAAAAGCAAGCTAAAGATCTCCAAACACTGGAGATAGCTTGTCCTGACACGTACAAGAAACTCTACGCGATCCGCGACAACATCTTGAGACAATCCCAGCGAGAGTTTTGTGGAAAGTGGAAGGTGTTGCGGCGACTGCTCGACTTCTGGTACTCAAATGGCGATAAAGTCCTCATCTTCTCACACTCGGTTCGCCTATTGAGACTACTCAGGGGTCTTTTCGATGTCGATGGTACAAAGTACAACTTTTCATACCTTGACGGCAGCATGAAGTACGAAGATCGCTCTCAGGCAGTCGCAGATTTCAACACAGACCCCAATCAATTCGTCTTTCTAATCAGCACCAAGGCGGGAGGCGTTGGTCTGAACATCACCTCTGCCAACAAGGTCGTTGTAATGGATCCACACTGGAACCCAGCATATGACCTCCAAGCCCAAGATCGCGCCTACCGTATCGGCCAAACACGCAATGTCGAGGTCTTTCGCCTAATCTCAAGCGGCACGATCGAAGAAGTAGTCTATGCCCGTCAGATTTACAAGCAACAACAAGCCAACATCGGCTACAACGCCTCTGAAGAGCGCCGCTACTTCAAAGGCGTAATGGACCAGTCCACCAAGAAAGGCGAGCTGTTCGGCCTAGAAAACCTCTTCACATTTGAAGAACATAGTGTACTTCTCCGGGACATCATGCATAAGACCAACGTCGCAGAATCAAAAGCCGGTGTCAATGCCTACGACTTCCACGTCGATGAGTCGCAATTTGACAGCGAAGACGAGGACATTCTGAGCAATAAGAATCTGGGCCTCGATGACGACGCTAACATCGCCGGTATCAAGAGGTTTGCTGACTCATTCTTGGCAAGTGCCAGTGCCAGGGGAAAGAAGGTTGTGAAAAGGAATGGGCCGGATCCGATCAACGCAATCTTAGCGAAAGCTGGTGTCCAGTACACACATGAAAATTCCGAGGTTATTGGTCGCAGCGAGATGGAAGCGAGGCTGGGCAAACGCGCACAGGAACTGCGTAACGATGTTGATCTGGGTAATGAACGCGTGTTCCAGGGCACGCAGTCGCAATCTCAATCACAACCGCAACACCACTCTAGCCCTCTCGATGACTCCAACGATCTTGACGATTCCGAGGCCGATGACGACGAAGACGTTCATATCACGGGTAGTGCGACGAAAGGAGAATTCAAGATCAACTACAGGTACAGACCTAATGAGCAGGTAAGAAAGAGGCAATTTTGCAGTATGGCGGAGAGTATGGGGTTTGATGACCCAGCAGAGTTTGCGCTACTGGTTGAGAGTAGTAGCCAGGAAGAGAGGAGGAAGATGTTGGAGAGGTTTTATCGCGGAAGGAGGAGGCAAATCATGGGGGACTTGAGTACGTCGAGTTGATGTTCAGATCTAGATGAGGCAAGTGCTAGATGATGTCGGCAGTGTTGAACAAGAACGCCACGTGTGGCCATCTGTCGATGCCGAGTTGACAATGATAGTGCCATGCTTTGGTCAACCCCCACGAGGGTGTCTTGGCCCATTTATGCTACGTCGCGGATGTGTGGGTGGCTCACGAGTGCTCCGGGGAGATTGTCCATAGAGAACATGATGTGGAAGTGTATGCCTAAAGTTGGATGTACGATACTTGTAGAAGATGAGAGACTTTGTCAATATATTTCAAAGGTGCAAAGAAAGCTAAGCCCAACGAAGCTAACATCGTTGCACAAAGGGTGCAGGAGAAGCGAAGCTAGACCGTGAAAGCGTTTGCTCACTGTCCCCATGCGATAACAGCTTACGAGGGAAAAAACAGAATAACTCTTCGGGTGATGGAGAAGACGGAACATGACTAGAGATGACGGAATATGACCAAGACCGCTAATAGGAAGCAAAAGAGATCTAACCAATCCAAATACACATCGCTAAATACACACCGAACAAAAAGCCTGGTATCTTCCTTAGATGCGAAAACCCGTGCCAAGATCGACACATATCCAAGCCCCAATGCTTCCCATCCCCAAGTTGTTCTTCCGACATAGACCGTTTACATCGTATCCATACAACATCATCGTCCCAAATCGTCTTCCCTAAAACATCTTCTTCATCACCGTCTAACCGTATGCGCATAAATATGTGAATGGGCTGAAACAAGATTCGCGTTCATCATCACCATCATCATCGTCTAACAATCCCCCTCCCATCCCTCCACCGCCCATCACTAACCGTCACAAACTTGACATTTCTTCCCCTACTCTTCACACTCTCCACACCCCCAGCTTCAACCCATCTACCCAAGTTTTTGCACTGACTAACATCAAAGCGTTCAAGATCGCGACATCCCTCCACGACAGCTTCCACACCGGTTCCTGTAACGCGAACACAGCCTCGCACACTAAGATTGCGCAACTCGAGAAGGTGTAATGAAATACAACGAAGCGACGTATCGGAGACGGCCGAGCCGCAAAAAGCGAGGTTGAGGTGCGTGAGGGAGGGTAGACCGAGGGCGAGGACTTCGGTTGCGGTATCGGAGAGGGCGCAGCAGAATGACTTTATCATCCTCCGTTAGCAAAAATACACACACGCACACACATTCAATCTGTTTTAGATGTATATAGGATGATTCGACGACTTACCAGATCCAGTTCCTTGAGCCCCTTTGCCGCATTCGTAAGATATACAATCGCATTGTCAGTCAGATAGGTGCAATCCGCCAGAACGAGCTTGGTTAACCGTGGAAACGGGTACACGCTCCAGTGCTGAAAACCAACGTCTGTGATGGTCGTGCAGCGCGTCAAGTCGATGCTTTCGATGCGATTGGCGGCGTGGACGGCAATGTGCGCCATGCTTCTATCGGTGATGTGTTTGCAGTAGCTCAACGTCAACCTCCTCAACTTCGGGCAGCCGACAACGGTACCAGGGGGTAGCGGTTGCGGGGCAGGTTGGTTTCCCTTTCCTTTCCGGCCGTTGATCTGAGCTTGGTGTTGCGCGTGCGCCATTGCCATCTGCGGTGGCATTTCAGGAACCACCCAGCCGATTACACGAGCAAGCAGGTTATCGCCTACTTTTCTGCAGTTGCTGAGGTCGACTTCCTCGAGGCCTTTGGCTTTCTGCACCATTTCTAGGACGGCCGGGCCGGTGATGTCCCATACACTCTTCATGCGCCAGATCCTGACGCTAGGGCCGCATGTTTTGGCGAGCTCAGCGAAGCCTTCGTCAGTTACGTGGAAGCAGTTGCTGATGTTGATGTATCGAGGACGGCTGCCTACGAAGGGGCATATTACATCTACTAGCGCTCGGTCCGTGACTTTGCGGTTATACTTGGTGAGGTCAAGGTCGTGAAGTATGTCCGGTGATTCGGATATTAGCTTGTTCCAATGCGAGGAGATTGCGCGCAACTTCATGAGCTGGTGAATGTCCAGATTTGCGAGAACTTTGATAAGCACCGGATCAGGCAATCTGCCTCTCCCATATATGCTTGGTCTGTTGACAAGCCGAGGGCGCTTGAAGTCAAAGGGCATTTCTGGCGGTGTGGAGGCATGCTTCGCTATCGTGAAAGATGGCGACGGGGAGAGGGGGGATCCACCAGGCGATGGGGATTTGGGAAAGTCGGTCTTGGCTGGGCTGGATGGCGAGTCGGGCATTGATCCTGGAGGTGGTGGGGCGAGCGACCCTCTCCTGGATCTCGACCTGACATTGTCGAGGTCGACGTTGAGAAAAGGATCAGGATCGAACGGCTCCATCATCTTCTCGTCTCTCCGGGTGGGTGTCACCGGGTTATCGATATCGATTGTGTCATTGAAGGTGACGGTCGGCACGCTCTTCTTGCGTCGTGGTGTTCGTGGTATTATGTGGTCTGCTATTGCCAGGTCGTGGATGTTGGGTGTGCTATTTGCATCGAGCATCTGTACATCATCGTCCTTGGCAATCTGTAACCGCTCTTTGGCAACATTCTCAACTTGCCGACGTACGTCAGGAGTACACTTGTCCCACAGCTGGTTCAACGTGTCGCCACTGATCATCAAACACTCAACGGCCGACACGGAGCGGACCGTAGCCGTGCGGCGTGGCGCAAGCGAGAGACTGACGACTTCGCCAAAGTATTGCCCAGGCTTCAATCGGGCCTTTACCTCCTGAAAATGTTGCTCGCCCGCTGCGATGGATTTCCTACGCCCGGCGTTTGGCGAGGTGTAGCCGTTCTGTTCTGGCATGTTCATGTTGATGACTTCAACCTCGCCCTTGACGATGAAGAAGACATCACGTCCTTGTGTGCCCTGTCGGATTATGTCGGTGAAGGGGTCGAAAGAGCAGGGTTGGGCGCGCATGCCAATGAAGTGCAGGATGTCATCAGGCAGCTCGGAGAAGAGAGGCAGTTCCTTGAGCAGTGGTCTCACGTGTATGCTGCCACTTCCAAAGGCACTATGGGCTATGGCTTCAGCGAGACCCGGGCTAGGAGACTTCCTCTTCTTAAAGGCATTGACCTCGCCCTCGCGCAGAGTGCCACTCTCTGCCATGACTACGTCGCCGTCTTCGCGATCGCGCTTGCCCGTTATCTGGCGCATGGGCATGGCGGGCCGTTTGGCTCCCATCTCCGACTTCTTGCGCTGCAAGATGGCCAGTCGCTCCTGTGCCTCGTGCATGATGGCGACCTCGACCTCGGGAAACGCCGGCAGCTCCTTCATGAGATCTTCCTTATTCAGGCGGACGACAAGGGAGCGCATGTTGGCGATGATGGTGGCGGTGCGGGGAATGTCCATGAGGATGCCGATCTCGCCAAAGAAAGCACCGGGCTTCAGCTCTGCATATGTGCTCTCTTGGTCCCGCGAGGTCACGCGCACAGCACCGCGGACCAGCCAGTACATGGCCTTGCCCGTCTCGCCTTCGGTGAGAATGGTGTCATGAGGCTGGTACAGCTGGGGCTTGAGATGCAGGCCGACCTGTGTGAGGAACGAGTCCGGGGCGGCTTGGAACAGCGGGAAGGAGCGCAGGCGGTCGAGCAGGTCTAGCGGGAGACCCTGGATAGTCGAGGCGGCCAGCGGAGAGGGTCGTATGGGGCGGGCGGGATTGGAGTCGCTGTCGTATGCGCGCACCATGGCAAAGGGATCAGGCACTGGCACGCCGCCATGAGCCCTCACGGGGCCTCCTCCAGGCCTGTATCTGCGCATCGTCTTCTTGCGGTGCGGCGGCAGCGGCGACACCAGAGGCAAACGTCGCGGAGCGAGGGGCAGGTGGCAGACGGTTGGGCAAGGAGCTCGTGCGTGGTGGGGAAGGGGCGGTGGTGTGGTGGTCGGGCAGTCACCAGCTCATGGTGGTGCGTGTGTATGCGCGGTGCAGCTCTTCGAGTGTGTAGTTGTGCTGCTCGACGATTGCTCGGCGAAGGAGCGGGATGCAGACGAAGCGCGGCTTGGGGTAGCACAAGGACTGAGCAATGGTGCAGCTGAGCGGGCAGAGAGCTATGGACAAGGGAGCTCGGGAACCTGCAGTGGGTCCTGGCGCGCTGGCTTCTGTGTAGTGTATAATTTCTTGTGACTGAAGCGTGGTGCTCGGAGAGATGATGGATAGACTGCGGGACGAGGCTTGGTCCCGCAACCAGGTGGATCGGTCTAACCTTCTACTACACTTCTCGAAACAGCACGGACAGCCCTAGCTAACACACCGAGTTGAACCTTGCCTCTGCTCCTCGACAGTCACTTGCTCCATGTTGAACACTTCCACGTCCTCACCGCATCCAAGTGTTCAAAACATGTCCACACCCTCTAGAAGTCTTCTAGAATTTCTTTCCCGGCAAAAAGCATAGACATGTGCCTCGTGTATCGGCTATTATTACGAACGACAGCCCACCACCGCACCGACAATCTACCCCTGGCGCCTCCTGTGAACTCCCACCGTCGCGTGGCCCCTCCCCTTCGCATCAGATCATGTCGCAGACAAGGCACGCCCGTCGTACGTCATTCCCGCAACAAACAATTACACCTCCTGCATGTCATCCATTTTTCCCTTGGAAATTACAAAATCCTACAAAGGTATCGTGTCCCAGGTTGCGCCATCATCACTTCATGCCCGAGCCCGGAAATTTCCACCCAAACAAATATGTCGCGCAAGCCGCACACCAGTCCCAAAAAGCTCTGCTTAGTCCCACGTAAGCTGTCAGCCTGGCTCCACCGCCATGAAGCATGATTAGTATCTCCTCCGATCATCGCCCTCATATCTGTCATTGTAGTCGTATCTGCTCCTTCTGTCATCGCTCCTTCTGTCATCACGCTCATATCTATCGTCTCTCCTGCGATCACTTCGGCGCTTGCTGTCATCTGAGTCGTCGTCCCAATCCCCGTTTCTCTGCTGTTCCTTCTTCCTTTTCCGGTCGTCCCAATGGCCCGCCGCTTCTTTTGCACCAACGCCGCCTATAATGGCTCCGGCAATCGTTGCAACGGTATCGTACTTTTTTCCTTTAGTTGCTCGGTTGCCGGCAAAGCCGCCTACCAAAGCACCGCCGACCGTCGCCAACAGCCGGCTCTTCATGTCGGTTGAGCTATCCCTTTCGCGCGAGTTCGACCGACGACGTCGTGATTTTGATCGGCCCTGTCGCTGGGAGCGTGGCGGAGACCATGATGAGCCTCTTCGTTGGGGTGCTGGCCGCACGCCGCCACCTCCGTAAAGACTTTGTTGACCGTACTCAGACTGGGCTTGTTGCTCATATGGCTGTTACACGTTAGCTTGGAATGTGCATGTCGTTGGACTAGGCGCACTGCTACCTGCATGCCGCGTGTATCACCCGGTCCGTCGCGGCCGCGTGGGACTTTGAATCCTGGCCCTGGTGCAGTGTAGCCGTTCTGCTCGGGCTCACGATATCCGTCGTCTCGCCCATAGCGGTCCTGCCGGGAATCTGGCGCGTACATCTCTGGGTCGGAATTATAGCCGCTTGCGCTTTCCGGTGCAGTGGAGCGAGACGTGTACCCCTTGTCAGGGTGGTTTCCAGGCTGGTTTTCAGGATGATTTCGCGGCGGGTACGGCCCGTCTTGTGGTGCTTGACCGTGGGTCTTCTGTAGATACTCCCGCTGTCGTTGTTCCAATTTGCGCTTCTGCTTCGCTGTCCTCGGAATCGCTGGTAGACGGTCGTAGGTTTTGTCAAAATGCCTGTCGGCAAATCGGTCAAGACCCTCGAATCCGAGCTCCTGTTTATCAAGAATCGCAAATCAGCAAGACGCACGCTTGAAGGGGATTTCTGCAGGGCCACGCACCACCATCTCTTCTGCCATATTGACTAGACCCTTGCGGTTGGTCTTTCCGGGGGATCCGTGTCGGTGTTACTTCCGCGGACCGGTTATTCGGATAGCAAAAGTAACGAGTGTGCCTACCTAATGGCTCGCCCAGTTCTTTAACGTTGGATTCCATCTTGGCGGAGACCCCATGATGCCTGTTTTCATGGAATTTGGTATGACGTATGGTGGCGCTAACTAGAAAGAAGCTAGACACATGGCATAGCGTTGTCGCTCATCAGGAACGGCTGTCGGCACGCCGGGGTCTAGATGCGACCATTGCGCAGGGTAAGGCGTTCCCACAGCATTGGCGACGCACCCGTGGAGATCTCATTGGAAAGGTGTGACTGAGTTTACAGAAAAGGCTTTCCATAACTTGATCTTCCCCTGCTGCACTACCGCATGTTACACTGAAATGCACGTCGCTATAGCACATGCAGCCCGCGCTAGCTTCGCAGAGGAACTTGATCATCTCCAAGCGAAATTCACTTGCCAACTAATCCATCTCCCATCTCGTCTCTCACCTATTGATCAACACGTCTCAGCTATATCAACTTACGATGCTACCTCGAGTCGAAACGAAGGCGGTCGATATCGGGACCTTACTCCAATACACGTTCACTGACAAGCGCATCGCGGTCGAGGCTGTCCAAATGGCAGCTCCGCAAATTGCCTGTCTATACAACAACAACTTTGAGAGCCTTGACAACAACAAGAGATTGTCTGTCCTAGGTGATGCAGTTCTCGCCAAGGTACTCTGCAGCGCCTGGTTTGAAGCTCGCAGTTCGACTGGTAAGGAACACGCTCCCGTTGAGCGCTGCGGGGTACTGACGATCGTAGGGCGAATGCGTTCTCAAGCGCAATGGACGCAATTGCGTAACGAGACGCTGAGCAACGATGCGCTGGCTCGCCGAGGGTATCAGGCTGGTCTCGACAGATGCGTCATTGTGGCTGATAGCACGCCTGCCGTCTCCCCCAGAATGGTCGCGACGACACTTGAAGCTCTCATAGGCGCAGTCTACCAGGACGGCGGAGATGACGCTGTCCATCGCGTCATGCATTCACTCGATTCCTTCGACCATACACTCCTAACGGTAACGTCTCAACCCCCGCTCTTCCCACCCTGAGCAGTATAACTCTCTATTGACTGATGTGCAAACTTCTAGATCTCGGCCTAGCTGTCTCAGGACTCTCTCAAACGAGCCAACCCCAAATTCTCTCAACGAAAGGCTGGCGCTTGGTTTTACTTCTCACTGCGTTTTGATCTTCGTAAGAAGATTCGAACGCAAGGAAAAGACCATTACAGGGCGCCTCTTCTTCGCTTTGAAAATTTGGGGATGGCTCGATTAGTAGATTCCAGAGACAGCTGTGCCGCACCCGCTTGGATCTACGAGCCTGCGCTCCTGGAATTTAACGCGCCTTCATCAACGTGGCTCATCTGTGTGGTTCCTAATGCATGTTACAGAACGTTGATCCGTCATCAAGCATGTAGGTAGCAGTGTGGCAGCCTCATCACATTGGAACATGATTTGGTGGGATTGAATTAGGTGTAGGAGACGCTCAAGAACAACATTCAACATTTTGTGTCTTGGAAAGGTAGTGGTCTAGGAACTGGTGCATTCAACTGCTGCAGCAATGGATCTTCTCCCTCGTGTCACTGTCTCCTTGACTTCAATTCACACACTCATTCAGTAGTAAAAGTCGAATTTGAGAACAAATTGCACCTTCGCTTAGGCCATCGAAAACCTCTACGGTCTTGGTCTGTATCGTTTATGTGCGCCGCGAAACACACAGTAGATTGTGCTTGCGCGACCAATTAGCATTCTAGCTGCGCTGGTAGGAACGGATTAGCGCTATCGCCCGATAAGAGAGCTTGCTCTGCAGCACAGCCTAGGTATACCGCACCAGGGGAGCTAGTGATGCAGCTCGAGCCGAGCCTCCATGAAACCATCGTGCCTGCTGGTCACGGCTGCACTCGTCTTTCAACGCTTTTTCCTTGAAGCACTTGACACTAGGTATTATGAATTGCAAGACTACTTTTAGGCGCCTACGCTCGCCAGGTGGAATGACTAGCTCCGCCAGATATACACACAGGGCGGCCTTTCGGCCTACGTTGCCAGCGTTCTCGCTTGCGGACAAGACCGCAGTCATCACGGGTGGCGCCAGAGGCCTAGGATTAGCTATGAGCCGATCGCTTGTTCTAAGCGGTGCCAACCTCGCGATTGTCGACATTCACAGTTGGTCTTCTCCCGACCTTTGGAGCACTTGACCGCTATGTGCTGACCATCGTCACCCTGACTTGTAGAAGCGGAGGCTACTCAACGAGCCATGGAGATCACCCAAGAGTTCCGGCAATTGCACTCGGGAAAGCCGTAAGCAGTCCAAAGGTCTCCCCCCGCGTTTACGCATTTACGGTTTTCCACAGGATCCCAAAGATTACAACGCATTACGCTGACGTTGGGAAGAAATCCGAGGTCGATCAGTCAATTCGCGAGGTACTCAGCGCGCATGACGAAATTACGAACCTGGTTACCTGTGCCGGATATTGTCAGAACGTAGAAGCCATCAAGATGACGTCTGAAGAAATAAAGACAATGCTCGGCGTCAATCTGGAAGGCACATTCTACTGTGCCACTGAAATTGCTAGATACTTGATGGCGCGCAACAAGCCCGGGAACATGATCTTCATCGGCAGCATCAGCGGCAGCATCATCAATGTGCCGCAACCGCAGGCCATGTATAACTCGAGTAAAGCAGCAGTTCGGCATCTTGCGGCTAGTCTAGCCGTTGAATGGGCGAGCAAGGGCATTCGAGTGAACTGCTTGAGCCCCGGCTACATGATCACTGAGCAGGCCATGTGCGTATTCGTGCTGAAGTAAGAGACGATAGCTGACAGGGAGTAGGAAGGCGCAGATTCTTGTAGACAACCCAAGCCTAAAGGCCGAGTGGGAGTCCAAGATCCCGCAGGGCCGCATGGGCCCACCTGAAGAATTGATGGGTACGGTAGCATTTTTGGCATCAGATGCCTCTAGCTATATTACTGGACAAGAGATAAAGGTGGATGGAGGTTTCACTGTGTGTTAAGACTGATCTGTACCGGACTGGAAACAGGTTGATAGACTATTATATGTGTTTCGACGAGCGTGTAGCGAAAGGAAACGATTCATTCGAAACCGTGTTTCACACCGCATACCGCAGTGCCTCGTGTCCTCGCCGTAAACGTGAATGCTTCCAATAACAATAGAAATGTAGTGATAAGCATAATAAACGATGGTGTAGGGTTGAAGTTCACATTGATGAATCTAGAGCGGATATCTCCAACAATAGCCTTCTAACAACCTCTTACCAAAATGTCAGCTTATCCGCAACCCAATCTGTTATCGCAAAGAAGATATTATAGCGATGAAAAAAACTCCGGTTCTTTTTGCCAAAGATGTCTATTCAACGTGTTAGCTCATGTCTTCACCTCACTTTCTTTTCCCAAAAACTTACACATCGGAATTGTCAACGCACAAATGGCGACCTGCACACTTCCGACGACGACAAAAAGGTCTTTGATCCCCCCACCCCCACCTTGCCCACTCTTCCGTCCAGCATCAACAATCCAGTCGAAGCCTTTGAATGTCAAGGCGAAGGAGAATATGTTCTTGAATACGAGGAGGCACGTAAAAGCTTCAATGGATATGCCGCCTGTACACATCAGTATCTCAACACACGACACAATCTTGGAGACTTACGATGCGCATCCACAATGTATAGCGCGCTGGCAACAGCACCACAAACCATACCCATCACTACGAGCGCGAAGAAGAAATCAGGCCAGAACCACCCGTACTTCCCCGCATCTGCACTGGTCCAACCGAAGCCGTAGATACCAGCGCAACCTAGTATGAGTTGTGGGATCACGAGTACCATGCGAAACTCGGGCTCGTATACGCCGTTGTTAAGGCGCGTGAGTAGGTTGGCGGACCAGTCGCTAATCAGGCCGGTGAGGGCAAAGCCGAGGAGTGCACCGATGAAAGCACCTGTGTACCTTTACAAGGTTATAGAGTCAACATATGTACGTACAAGATAGGGACGGAGTGGATAAAATAACGGGAAGAAGGAGATGAGGGGGAGGCTTACATGTATCCTGTTTCCACCTCTCCAAACCAAAGCGGTGGGCCGAGCATAATCGCTGCAAGCACAACACCGATGAGAACCGTGAAGCCGATTAGAGTGCCTTGGATGAGACAAGCCCATAGGATACCCGGGTGCAGGAACAGTGAGAAAGGACGTAGAAGGAGGTGCAGATACCGCTCATCTGTTTTCCGTCCGTTGAACGGCTTGATACTTTCGAGGAAAGTAGCTTTGCGTGGCGGACCGCCCGTCGATTGCTGGTCTGGAGGATTTTCCGCTCCCTTTTCAGTCATATCCCCAGCTGCGTCGTGCTCAAGTGATGTGGTGTTTGGACCTTTGTTTCCTAGCATTTTCATTTCTTCTCCATCCAGAACGAGCAAGTTCCCCATGGTGTCGATGTCGAATTTCTCTTCCCTCCTGAACGCCGTTTCCGGGACGAAAAGGATCATCAAGGGTAGCATGACTCCTGCGAATATGGCGACAAAATAGAAGGTCCACTGGTACCCGATTCGATCTGCAATCACTCCTACCAAGACTGGGGTGAGAAACGCGCCTCCGAAGACGCAGAAGTTTGACAGCGCCATGCGAACTCCGCGCTCGTGGACATGATACATATCGCCAACGCTAGCTATAGGTCGAGGTGTAACGTTAGTACAGGCTTGAAATAGTGTTCAGAGATATCCCCGATTTGCGACAATGCTTGGAGTCGTCTCAGCGGAGCACCATACAGCTGTCGCTCCAATGACAGAGGAACCCGAACATCGTCTCAAGCAAACACGAAATAGGAAACACCAAACGTACCTACACAAGATATTAGCATCTACTCGACTCAAGGACGGAGCCCTCCATCCCTTTCCTTGAAACTCACCATTAACAAGCGCCTCAAATGGCGCTAAACCCACGCCTTGAAACACCCTCGCCCACAGAAATCCACCATAATAATTTCCTATCGCGCCGCCCCACACACAACTCACCACCACCAGCACGTTGCCTAGAAGGTACACATGTCGTTTTCCCCAGATACGCGCTGACGGCACGAAAAGAAAGCCCGCGACCCCGACACCCAGGAGGTGGTAGCCGGTCAATAGCGCCATGTCGGTTAAGTCGCGACCGAAGTAGATGGCGAGGGAGATAGTGTTGGCGGCGAGGATGGGGGAGAGGGTGCTTGCAATGACTGACAGGAGGGACAGAAGAAGGAGAATGGTGTCGCGGCGACGAAGAGACCAGTTCTGTGAGACGCATCAGTCAACCTTGTTGGACTTACCTAGGCCTCATCTCGAGACTGGGAGGTTCAAAGGGACGTACAAGCGGATCATTCGGATCATCACTCGGCTGCGGAACAAGCAGTATTTTCCCAGTTTTATCGTACTTCAAATCTGACCTTCCTGTCCTACTTCCTGCGTTTCTTTCTACTTCTCTCCGCTGCTCGCCTTCAAATACCTGCGCGGTCCCAGGGACCCGTTCGAGTGCATGGTCAGCGAGGATGCCGAGACCCATTGTCGCACGAGTTTACGAGCGCCTATATCAACTCAGCTTGATGGTGTGAGGTTTGAGCAGTTACATGATATGTATGCGAAAAAAAAAAAACAGTATTGGAAGAAAAAGGGAGGGAGGCTGACAGTGAGAGATGCCGGAGGTGTTGGAGGGTCAATAGATTCTGGGGTGTGGAGATCGCCCCCCATGGACCGCGGAATCTCAATATGCTTCGGTGGGAGGCAGCCAATGGCAGATAGTGGTGGCGGAGCGCCTTCCGACTAGAGGCCGACAAGGCTTCAGATGTTCAAGACTAAGCCGCACGGGCACCGGATTGGGCACATTATGCGCAAAGACATAGTCATCTTATGGATTATCTACGTCTTCAAGATTTGGGCATTCGCATTAAATGTGGATAAAGCTAGAGCTATCGAAACCATTTTCTTATGTGAGCATCATATGAACATGGGTATCAGGCTATCTCACGGGCAGGGAGGACAAGCGGCTCCTCCACTTCGATTGGGCTATTATGGATCGCAGCCATCGAGACTCGCAAGGTAATTAGAATTATGTCTGACGAGAGACCCCGAAAGAGGGAAGAGCTTGAAACGAAGCTCCTCGCAAGCTATCTTTGCGATTGATGGACCATTTTTGACATGGAGAGAGATGTTATACCCGTGGCAAGATTCAGCAAATGCTGCCTTCATAGTCATCAAGCGTGCTAGGAACGAACAAGTTTCAAAAAAGTAGGATTATACTAAGGACAAGCCAGGCCATGTCTTTCGTGTGACTAGTTGATTGTTGCGAGAAGAACCTCTCGAGGCGTGCCTCGTGAAGCGTTCTAGTCCTCGACGCGTCGGGTGCATGGCTGGAGTTACAGTTCAAGAAGCTGGGTGCTGGACAAGTGTCCAACAGCGTACAGGAATAACCGTTCTTCTCTACAAAGCAGCGAGCAATCCAACCATGGCGACTCCAAGACCGATTCCAGCACCTGCAGTCTGGTAGGGCGCTGCTCCGGTGCTGCCTGCCGCGGATGCTGAAGCGGTCATGGAAGTGCTTCCTGAGGCGGCACTTCCTGAGGCGGTCATGGAGGCACTTCCTGAAGAGGTCATAGAGGCACTTCCTGAAGAGGTCATAGAGGCACTTCCGGAAGAGGCCATAGAAGCGCTAGCGGAGTTGCCCGCAGAAGGCGTCGCGCTGCCAGACGGGCACGAGGGTTGCGTGTTAACATCAACGTTCTGGAGGTTGCACAGTTGGACGGCGAACTGAGTAGTTGCTGTGAAACTTGTTAGCTGGCACAGACTGCGGCATAGCAAGCGACATACATTGGATATCCGCCTGCGAGCATGTAGCAAACACGCAGCAAGATACATCGTTGATTACACTGCTACCGCAAATGCATGCAATGTCGGCAACACCACAGCTGCCTAGGTTGCCACCGAAGCATTGTTGCTGCGTCTTCTTTAGCTATCATCCAGTAGTAGTCATTGCCAATTACTTACAGCACATTGCGGGATCTGGTCAAGAAGACCTTGGGCCAGAGCTGTAGAGCTGAATGCAGCGACTGCGGCGATGATGGAGAAGCGCATATTGACAAACGTTTATTACACGGAAGCGGCTGTAGAATGAGAGTAACGAAAGAAATTTGTACTGGACTTCTGAGACAAGATGGAATGAGCGAGGGGGGGGCTCGGTTTTTGAAGTTATCCGCGGACTTGTGGCAGCACCCTGAGAGAGACCCAGACTTACAATGGCTGGCTGGATCATCTCTAGGTTCTAGTTGATTGGCTGCTCGTTCCACCATTCGACGTCCGGATTGGTAGGGCTGTCAACATTCAAGCCGATCTAGTGTGCACGTCCCCAAAGAGGGCCCGTGTCACCCCCAGATAGCAATTAAGTTGTCGATCGGCTTACTGGCTGACAAGTCTCCTGATTGGTAGTGGCGTACGCGAAAGCGGCGTGAAGAAACAACCCGCTACATGTTGTTTATAACCGAGAACGGTCCGTTTAAACACAAGTTAATAGCGCGTCGTCAAGTGTAAGACTATGCAACAAAGTGATGTTAGGGAACATGATCACTCGAGGACCGCAGGATGCGACAAAGTCTAGTCACCCTCGCAGAACAATGTGAAACCGCGTAGATCACCCCGCCACGTGTAACGCGAACTTTAAATGTCTACTTGTACTTTCCACTCCTTCTGCGCCACCAATATTTTATAGCATTCAATAAAGATGTACCGAACTGCACGCCGAGAACCTAGGCACTGCAAGGGCACCTGATTACCGGAAGCCCGCAAGTCAACACTTCGTGAGCTCAACGAGGGGGACAGAGCGCTCGCCGCAGAAGCTTCAATCGCCGACAGCCTCTCCTGCAAGAACTGCCTTCAATACTTCAGTCACGAATGCGTTAGCAAATGGACAACAACAAGAGCGACGCAGCACATTTAGAAGGTTGCCTAGGATCTCAACAGCAACAGCAAAACCATGAGCTCTTAATGCTAGCAAAACCGGCCTAGGCAAGGCTTGGAGGCCGAAGCTTTCGGAGAAATAGGAGATGGTCATAATTAAGATTGCGATTGAAGATCATAACCATCGCGAAAGGGAGAGCAAAACACACGGCAGACTGTGCTTGCGCTGTGAATTGGCATACCAGTTGCGCTGGTGAGAATGGATCGGTGGGGCGACCGTGCCATGCAAGAAACCAATGAAATTGCTTCGGACACCGGCGGCTGACATTTTTCGAACACCAGAGCCTTGCGTTTCACGCACGAACAATCTTACCGGCTGTTCGGTCGTCCGCACTTCTGATATCCCCACGCATCCCAGCGATGGGAGGTTTCGCGAAGAAAGCCTCGCAAGCAGGCAGTAAGGCAGTGTTGCGAAAGCAGTCCGCAAAGAGATGGCACCAACGCCTCGCTGCCTATGCAGCGTCAAGTCCCACTACAACCACGGCGCCACGCCGAGTGATACGGAACCATGGTACCCCAGACGACCCCAAGCGAGATAAGACCGAAGTCATCTAACCAGACCGTTCACCAGAGGACAAACCGACGACCGTTGCCCTACAAACCAGGCTTCCAGAAGACCCAAAGGTACAATCTCCGCTTTTACCGTCGATTTGTTCGCTTGGCCCACCCATACCCAAAGCGATCATCAACACTGCGACAAAGAATATGCTCAGTTCCGGTGGCAGAATTGACCTAAGCATTGCCGGCGTTAAGTCCGCTGTTGGCTGGGTTTTCAACAAGTCACCCTGCGCTACAGCATTGCAGGTGCAGGCAAAATACGGCATTACGCTCGCTTTTGGCGCCTTCGACCATGTTGTAGAACACAACGAACTGTTTGAACAAATGGGTGATTACATTCTCAATATGGCATTATTCAAGAAGTGACTCCTGGTTCGAAAGAGCACATAGATGCATGAAGCGATCTTGCGTGTTCTGTACTGACTAGTATGAACAGTTCAGGGTAGTCTTTCGTACCTACAGGCGGATATGGTGGTGTTATCATTCTATCCTTGCGAAGGAAGGCTTCCCGCCTGGCCTGGTTAATGAAATCCCAACGGTTGACGGCCTCATCAAGCGCACGGAAATGATCAGTGGTTATGTTTTCAAGAACAAGCTGTTATGTGCAGAAGCCTTGCAGACAAAGCCACCCGATGTCCTCTTTCGCGTCGCGGGTGCTGTCCATCGCGTCGATAAGAACCAGGCTCTCTCGTTAGTCGGAGACGCTGCCCTGTACGCAGTATTGGCCAAGATGTTTTACCAGGCGCGTGACAACCGCGGTAAGCTCACACTGTATCTTCCAACCTGTCTCAATACTGATGATCGTAGGCAAGCGTCACACCCTTTTGTCTTGGGATAAGATGAAGCCTGATTTGTTCAGCAATATGAAACTCGCTGATCGTGGCTTCAGCCTCGGGCTGGATCGAGTCATAATCACTAGTCGCGCAGGACGGGCCGGGGTGTCTCCAAACACGGTGGCAGATGTGCTCGAGGCCATTATTGGAGCTATCTACATGGACGCCGAAAATAATTCAAGTGAGGCTGTTGCCCACGCACTTCAGCACATGGGGTTCTTGGACCACCCCTTATTCGCTGGGACATCCGTTGTCCAGCCCATCCTACCATCCTTGCCTGATTCTTCTCGATATTTGTTTCGTAAGATTGGAAAGACTGTGTCAGAGAAGACGAGCAAGCCCAGAGGCTCTCTGGATAGTTCCAAGGATAAGGATAAACTTGAATCTTCCCGTAGGAAAGTTTTAGAAAATACACTGAAAAGACCAGATAATATATATGATCAAAGCGAAGGGTCAAGGAGAGCTATTCGAGATGAGCTACGTGGAGGAAGCCAGCCACAACAGACTCAGCAAACACTACAAAGTCGTTCAAGCCATGAGCATGTGGGCAGGGAGACGTACCGCAATGCCGGCATTGGGAACATCGTCACAGTCACAACGACCACGACCACGACCACGACAACAACCACTACGACCCGCCCACGCGGTTCTACCACCGTGGAGCAGCCTCCGCGAAAAGGCACTCAAAAGCTCCATTGAGAGCTAATCGAATCACTCGCTTTCATCTTCCATTACCATCTAAAACCCGGATGTCTTTAATATACATCGAAAGCGCCATCTGTTTCGACGAGAGTTCAAAAGAGCTCTATCGCCACTTCTCGCGAACCATGCCGGTGTTCTTTTTGCCGCTTATCCTTAGATCTCCAAGCTTATTAGTTGGTTATGGCCGTACTTCCCTGTGCTACATCACACACCCTAGGGTTGCACCATGGGAGAGGCTTTTGTTCTGATGTCATGATGTGCATATTGGATGCTTACGTCCATCACACTTAGTTTACACAAATCATCTTTTACCCCAATATTGTTGTTCTCTGCATCATTGCCATCGGGTTCTTTGCGTGTGCCATATCTCTAGATGTTGAGTACCTTTGCATGTATGTTTTGTATGTATATCGAAGCTACACACTAACATGAGGATACCATCAAGAGAAGGTATTTGGGTCTAATATCGATGTCTCTCAATAGTGAAAAGGGTTCTGATGCGTTGCAAAACATATGGTTGACTCCTGATCAGTAGATCAACACGGTATCATGGAAATAAGCTTATGGAGTGAACAGCAACAGCAGCATGACTTTGCGGCCGTGTTCGCCATCGGTGCGACATGGGTGCTCCGTCTCTCTTGCATTCACCTCAACGGAGCGCCAATTCGTCAACGATTTCACGTTATGAAATCGACGCGACGTGATGATTTCACCACAACGTTCCACTACCCACCCAGAGATACTTCACAATGTCGCGTAACTTCTCAGCACTTAACGATTTGCTTCCAGACTCGTACGGCAGCACCGTCTATGGCAACCATGTCAAATACGCAACCGGAACAGCAACAATACACAACCAACTACGATATGTCTCAACACACTCAGGATCCAAGCCGTCTTGCGAAGGTTCACCACCTAAATCTAGACACTTTCTTCAACACTGTCTATCTGGAGGAGAGTGATCTTGGGGTAGAAAATGGGCTCCTGGGTAAAGACGATCTCGATATGCTAGTTGCAACTGTACACGTGCAGGATGCCATACTGAATGGCTTTGATCCCAACAACGTAGACTACGAGAACATCAACGCTGACATCTCATACTCTGCAGACCTAAAGTATGTACTCGAAGACCGAGATATCATGGCGCAACAGCAACAGCCACATTCTCAGCAAAAGCATGATTCACATAACCAAGCACAGTTTACGTATACGAATCGCATAGTTGATGCCCGGTCGCAAGATTCTTGTTCCGCTGATACCGGTAGAATCTCCCAACTTGGTCAACAGTGGCCTCCAGGGTCTCACCCGCCACCAATACCCCTGGGCGTCTTACAGCGATCTTATGCGTCACTACAGCCCGTGCAGCTGTCTCATGCTCAGGCACAAACACTGTGGTTGCAGCACGATTCAGTGCCACATGGCCGACACATGCAGGATATAAACCAACAGCAGTGCGCCGCACATCAATACACAACGTCGCTGTTATCAGAGACAGCTTCCACAGAACCACTGGGTGGGCTTTACTATCCTAGTCCAGGAACTTATTCAGCACTCCCATCGTCCGTAATGGCTACCGAAATGAAAGCTTCTAAGAAGTCGAGTGGCGATTGGACGCAGAAGGAGCCAGCTGCAACACGAAAAGCGCAATCTCCTGCGCAAGCACAAGTATCAGCACAAACGACTCAACCAGTCGCCGCAGCTGTACCGTCAGCCATAGGATTCAAAGGTTTTGCGGAGGCTAAGCAAGCGGCAGTCACCCGCGTGATTCTCCACAACTACACTCCCCCAGTCAACGACTCTAGCTTACCCAAGGATGATGATGATGCAACCCGCAAGGTCTACATTCGTCAGATGTACGACGCCTACGTCGACATAACCCAATGCATCGACCGCGCCACCGTTGCCAACTTCAATTCGCACTTCTTCACTCTCTCATCTGATCCGCCTACGTCCCCTATCACATCTGTCATGATCTCTACCATCTGTTGGCATCTACTCACCATCGCTATCGATCTTCATACTCGCGGTCCTGTGTCTCTCAACATCTATGACCCAGCAAAGCTCAAGAACGTGTACACGTACCGGAACTTGACGTTCAAAGCGCGTATCGACGCGGTGTGTGAACTGTTGAAGCTGAGCAAGGCTAGATGTGCGAGTCTACTCAAACTTGATGGTTTGGAGATGGTCGTTGCGAATGCGCCAATGTTGTGTAGACAAACGAAGACCAATCATTCTTCGAATGGCCATAGACAAGGTTACCTGGCTACTGGGAATGATGCTGTCGCTGGCAAGAAGAGAGATGCTTCGGAGATGGACAGCGACGAAGCAGAGAAGACTGATGCTCGCGAGTCGGACGGGTATTAGGCAGTGAATTGAGGGACAGGATGAGTGTGATATGGTCGTTCCTTTCGAATCTAGTACGTTCATATATTCGTAGTGAATGATAAAACTCCTTTCTTCTTACAATGAAACTATTCGTTGTTTGCGCAGCTACGTTTCTTGCATACTAATGTCCGTCCTTCATCAGTTTTTTGATGGCCTGATGTTCTTGGATAAGAGCAGCATGCATGTTTATTGACGATGGGTGCAATGCTGTGTATGCATGTTTAGTAGGCGACGTGGTTCTCATGGCGCTGAGGCAGATGTTTGTGAAGGGGAAGGAACGATGTTTCCCGCCCGATCTGCCAACAACGTCATCAACAAGCCGCGTATGGCACGTGCTTCTCGTTAGCACCCGCACCTTCTGTCTGCGACGTCTAGAGCTCTATCCATCTTTAGTGCTATGTAACCACCGAGATTATTGACCTGCACCGCTATCGTGCGCCATGTCTTACCTCGATCGAGACGACTTGATTCATCATACGATCATGAATCCTCACCAGCACCGCTGATGCTCGTTTCGCACGTGTCTAATGTTCTGGGAGTGAAAATAGTGCTGCGTATTCACAGCTCGAGGCTGGTGAAATTGCAATACCTTCCACTCTTCTGCTTCGATCGACTACGCGATGGTTCCTTCTGCCGATGTTCTGGAGCGTGTATTCACAGCACTTGTTGTATTATTAAAATGATCCTCTACTTTCTGGTTTAGATATCGTCGCCATTCGTCGCTCAAAAACGCAACTCAGCCCTAGTCAACAGTATCGCCGTAGCTGACAAGAACACACCTACAGCTCTGAGAATGGTATATCCAGAACAGCGGCAGCAACAGGATGAATGGGCCCGTCAGTATGCACCCCAGGTATCTCCAGAACAGCAGCAGCTGTCACAGCAACAGCACAGTGCATTCACTTATCAAAATTCACCAGAAGTATTCCCAGTACAACAGCCACAACAGCAGCACAATGCATGGGGTAACTACCTTACTCCAAGCCCTCCTCACAATACGGGAACAAGCGCCACGTGGGCTCGTCAGTACGCACCACATGTAATTCCAGAGCAACACCGGCAAAACCCTTGGGGTCATCAGTATGCACCACGTGTATCCACAGAGCAGCAGCAGCAACCACGTGCCGTACGTGGTCCGTATGCACAACAACCGTCTCCCAGCATGGGTATAAACACACCTACCCCCAGTTCAGCGACCTATAGCAACAACTATTTCTACGGAGAAAGGTATCTCAACTTGGGTCAACATAGCTACTACAACGGTCAGACGGTACCAACTATGCCCCCATTGCTCACACCTCAACAACAAAACAACATTACTCAGCAGAACTTCGTCGCAGCACCACCTGCTGATCAAGGCTTAACAGCCCCTGCACTGGACCCTCACCCGTCCGACGTAGTCAGTTCCCTTAGTCAAGCAATGGCTACTATGCCGCAGCAGGGCTGGCACTGTCCCAAAGATGATGTGACGCTTCCAGCGACAGACGAAGACCGTGAGCAGTGGGTTCGAATGCTTCTCAACGCCATTAACAATCTTGATGGTATCGAAGGCAATCAAGGCAAAAAGAACCAAAACTCGTTGCAGAAGCGTTGGCGTGGGCCTCTAACAGGGCCTGATTACTACCTGCCTGCAGACAAGTTGATTCTCTGCTGGACAATAGAAGATCTAGCAGAGCGTTTGCACCGCTTAGGGCCTTCGGTATTTCATTCGTTCGACGCCAATTTCTGGCACCAGGCTGCAAAAACACGCAACTGGACTTTTGAAGATCGTATGACGTGGATCATAGAATTGCTTAGGGTGTCGAAGACCAGATGCGATAGCTTGTTGGGTGGTAGCAGTTTGCAGGGCATTGTCGCCAACCCAGCTGAGAAACTTGATGCTACCAGAGCACAGGCAAAACAGAACGAGAAGCGTGGTGAGACTCTGAAACTTGGCCGCGCGATCAAGAAGCAGAAGACTAATCGAGTAACTTAGAGGCAGAAGGAGCGCGAATGATGGCATCACCACGGTAGTATCCATTGGAAGAACGTAGGCTTCTGCTCAACATCATAACTCGGTGGTCGCGTAGTTGATCAATTATGTCTGACACAATGGGCTAATCCTGCGAGTAGCGGATTTATTCTTCGGTGACCATTATCTACGTCGTAGCAATTAACGATCACCTCTCCTCTTTGAAAGTACGCCAGTGAAGTAGATCCAGTCCTGATCTCAGCAGACGGGCATTGTCGAAGTGATTCTCACGCCACCATCGGGAGTCTACACTCAATCGCGGTCATATAGTCATCATACACTGTTCAACACGTCCAACTCCTCCATCGAAATCCCGTTTCCACGACGCCAACGCTTGTCTTGCTCGTATCCAGTCTAAAAGATATCGCCCAGAAGAAATGTTCCCGGAACGCACCCAAGGAGTAATTCAGCGATCCGCATCCGCATCCGCATAGGTGCATGGGTTCGCGGCCGCGGTTAGAAGTAGTTGCCACATCCAAACCCAGAGCCGCATATGCAGGGCCAGCAGCTACCGGGTGGAATCGCAAGACGTGTGATTGGTGTCACTGTAAAGTCCGCGTTCGGCATTTTCGCCTCCACCATACCCCGGTTGCGCCTAGATTCTTGGTGAGCTAGAGTGCTAGAAACCATGCGAAAGTGGGTTATCAATTGTAGCGCAAAAGCATCCAGCCGTTTCAGAACCAGCCACACCCTTATCTTTTCAGCAACTTGGCGAATGTAGGTCCTCCGGTGAAGATGGGTTCGTGGCTTGCATCCGTTCAAGCACTGTAAATCTTCCCGCTAGGGTAGCGGTAGCTCATACCGGATTTAACTATTGCGAAGGATGATTTCAGGCACAACCTCGGCGTGTGCAGCCAAGGACTCGGGACTGAAACCACATGTCGTGAAGAAACAAGGCCACGATACATCCACGGGCGCACGCCTTACCTCAGGCCACAAGTGTGGATACGATATTATGCAATTATTATCACACCCAAGAGTACTCACGAGTAAGTGTCCTCCGGTCGGCGTTTGAAATCGGAGTCTTGGTGGTGTGTAGGATTTAGCGAGGGACACGGGGGCGCGCCCTCCCTCATCCAAACGTTATCGCCCTTGCCGTCCCCACATTCATCAACCATTCATCCAATCCTTACCGTTCCCCAGTCCAAATTTGGTCTTTTCGCACACCGGCAGGGATAGGTCAGGTCATTTTAACAGACAGACTTATACCGCCAAGGCCTCTTTGTCTCCGCTCACTTTCACAGTGTTGTGCAGGCTTGCTTTTCACCCAGCCGCGTGCGCGAAACACTCCGCCAACCCTAGGGACCGCAAGCCGAACCATCGGGCCTTGCACCAATAATTAGTCTGCTGATAACGCAAAAGCATCCCCAGATCAACAGGTCGACCGTATCTATTCTTGATGATTGTAAGCAATAGCTGATGTTGTGCGCTAGGACGTTGTCACACGTCGCGATGAACAAAGGATGGGTGTCGAAAGAAGCCCACTCAAGGAAGCTCGGCTGACGATGAAGAATCTTGGCTATCGTATGTGCCGTCTTCCCTCTTGGCTTACAACGAGGCGACACAAGCTTCGGTAGCCGCGGCGGCATAACTCTTCACTGCGGGGTCAGTCGCCAAGTTTTGTGGCTGCTTCACTGGCTTGAAGCTTCTTTGCGAGCAAGTCGCGCGAGAAGCTTCTCCAGCGCTTACCGGAGCTTGGTCGGACACAAGCAAAGAACGGTTTTCGGTGTTACTACACACCAACGCGTTCACGGTGGTGTGGTTGCACAGATATGTGGTTGGAAAGTTACCACGTTGCGGGAATTTCGAAAAGCACACCCCGTGGGGAAGATGTCAACGGCGTCGTAGGATCGTCACACCCACTTCTTTCCTCCGCTCTGAGAGAACGCACTGATACGTCCGATCCGACCCCGGAACATGTTCTGTTTTGTCACTTGCGCTTTTGCGCTAGGATGGCCCACCGGAATGCTTAGTGTAAATTAGTGACCTTGGCATGCTGGAGATGGTTACATCCACTGCGCATCCGTCCAACAACGACTGCATGGACGGACTTGGCAGGCTTGGCCCGCATCAAGACTCAGCGGGTGACTGGTATGGGCGTTTGTAGTATCGTTACGAGGCGACTTGATCAGCCAGAAGCAAACGCGGGTATATATATGGCTGCCCCGTCTCCGATCTTGGAATCAGCAGTGTGATCGGACTTGCGCCTACATCTTCAGGGCAGTCTACTTATCTTCTCATTGCCTTCAAGCTCGACTCAAGGTCTCTCCAACACCATGTCAAGCACCAACCGCCCCGCGGACCCATTGGCAAAGGGTATCATCCCTACCGCCAAACAGGGTCTCAAGGACTTGTTCACCTGGGACCAACGTGTAGTCGTTCGCAATGACTACGGAGAAGAGCACTGCGAGTGGCAAAAGCCAGAGCCTCTCAAGAACCCTATCAGTCTGTTCGCTCAGCTTGGATGGAAGGATTGGCTATACTTCCTCGTCGGTTTCCTTGCATGGACTGCCGATGCCTTCGACTTCCACGCCTTGTCGATCCAGACAACCAAGCTGGCCGATTACTACGACACATCGAACACTGCCATCTCAACTGCCATCACTCTGACACTGCTTCTCCGCTCTGTCGGTGCTGCTATGTTCGGTGTAGCTGGTGACAAGTTTGGTCGCAAGTGGCCCATGGTTCTCAACATGATCATCTTGGGTCTTCTCCAGGTTGCTACTATCTACGCTGGAACTTTCCAGCAATTCTTGGCCGTCAGGAGTCTTTTCGGTCTCTTCATGGGAGGTGTTTACGGAAACGCCATCTCCATGGCACTTGAGAACTGCCCGTAAGTGAACCTCAACTCTGTAATCGACTCGCAAATGCTAACATACACAGTGTCAACGCTCGTGGTCTCATGAGTGGTATATTGCAGCAAGGTTACTCATTCGGTTACGTCCTTGCCGCGTGCGCCAACTTGGGTGTCGGTGGCGCAACCAACACCTGGAAGACGGTGTTCTGGGTCGGCGCCGGTTTCTCTATCGCAGTTGGTTTCATCCGCGTCCTCTTCCCAGAGTCGAAGCAGTTCCTCGAGGCGAAGAAGGCTGGCCACCGAAAGGCACCTGGTGCTTTCTGGGCCGAGACAAAGCAAATGCTTCGCAAGGAGTGGAAGATGTGTGTCTACTGCATCATCCTCATGACTTGGGTAAGTTTAGCCACTGGTTCTTGTACGCAAGATCCATCGTTAACATCAAACTAGTTCAACTACTACTCCCACACCAGCCAAGACAGCTACACCACCTTCATGAAGGAGCAGAAGCATCTCAGCCCCGCCGGTGCCACTCGTGCCTCTATTCTCATGAAGACTGGCGCCTGCGTCGGTGGTACCATTCTCGGATACACTTCGCAATGGTTCGGTCGTCGTCGCATGATCGTCTGCGCTGCTCTCATCTCCGGCTGCCTCATCCCTGCCTGGATTCTCCCCACTACCGAGGGTGGTTTGTCCGCATCTGGTTTCATGATCCAGTTCTTCGTCCAGGGTGCCTGGGGAGTCATTCCCATCCACTTGAGCGAGCTGTCCCCACCTGCCTTCCGTTCTTCCTTCGTCGGTATCACCTACCAACTTGGAAACATGATTTCCTCGCCCTCTGCTCAGATCGTCAACGCCGTCGCTGAAGCCACTATGATCAACACTGCGAAGGGCGAGCAGTCGCCTGCTTATGGACCCGTCATGGGTGTTGCTACTGCGATCATCGCTATCGGTATTGCAGTCACCACCGCCATTGGTCCTGAGAAGAAGGGTCGTCACTTTGAGGAGGCTGGTCCTATCGGTGCCAACATTGAGCCTGTTAAGGACATTGAGTCCGGCAGCATTCACAGCGAGAAGGACGGTGCTAAGGCGGTTGAGGTCATTGACGGCTCCAACCACAACGAGAAGGCTTGAGTGTAGTGCTCGCCTGGATCTTATCTGCAGTGCAGAGAGTTTGTACGCGGCGCGAGCCGTTAGGTTGAACCCGAAATGATGATACCACTTAGGTCACTCCGACCATGAGATATGATGAATGAATACGAACATTGAACAATAAATCTTGCCCACTTCCCCAAGCTCTCCTTGTGATGTGAAAAACGATCGCGCGTTACCTTCCAATGATACAGAATGTGTCCAGCTTATTTCAGGTCACATGCTACCTTCTGCAGACTCCGCGCGCTCCACAAAATCACGGAGCAGAGCCTCATAAAGCTCAGAATCTCCACACACCCACACACACTCTCATTCTCTCCGCATGTGCTCATACCAAGATCACCAAGATCGCCCAGATCCGACTACTGCAGTTGGGTGGACATTGGATGCCTTGTTTGGGGCGCGAGTCATGTCGGAATAGCAATGGTCCGATCGTTGCATATGCCTGACTGGGTATGCCGAAGGATGGGCGGGGCGCGACTGCAAGTGCGAGGATGAGGTGATGGGTGGCAGGTGTCGTTTGAACTCACAAGTGCCATGTATCATTTGTGTTTGGTAGCGAGGACTTTGACGTTCGGAAAGGTGGTAGGTTTCGGTACGCATTAAGCTAGCCCATAGATAAGCTGGCCACCCGGGTAAGCTGGCCACCCCACCAAAACGAGACACCTACACAAAACACGCTATATCTCTCAACAACGCTTTACAATTGCCATTGGCTACACATAGATTGAAGAGTTGCAGCTGCTGTAGCTGCTGCAGCCCTCTCTGTAGCCCTCTCTATAATAGCTCTATCTCGCTGGGCCGCTGTAGCTGCCGATCTATGTATCGCCGCTATGATATCCTCAACTTCCGCAAAGCGTTGATTTGGGTCTATTTGGACGCGCTTGCGAGGGGCCTGAGGGAGAGCGATCTCTAGTTCAGCCTTAAGGCGTCTTTTCTCTGCTTCCAGCCCTGCTGCTCTCGTATTCGCACTTGCCAGCGCCTTGCCTGCTTTCTGTAGCAAAAGCCGAGTCTTGCGACTGAGATTTTCATGACTCTGGATATCCTGCTGCGCAAGGTAGATATCGCGAGGGCCCTGGGGTGTAGAGAGGAAGGCCTCGATAGGTGATCGAGGTCGCTTTGGGCGTGGAGGTGTAGCTGGCTGCTGCGAGACTTGCGATGAGCTAAGCACGTGATTGATATTAAATGGGCAGAGGCTAGCAGCTCGCCAGCCAGCTCGAATCACACGCTCTGTAAAGCCTTCCTCTCTAGCTTGATAGTAGCAGGTAATAAAGCGCTCCTTCTTTACAGGCGCTGCGTCGTCGAGCGAGGCTAGGTCCTAGATCTGCCGGCGGTAACTTGACTTGATAACAGAGAATAGAGCAAGGTCTAGAGGCTGTAGGACGTGTGAGGAGTGCGCAGGTAGATAAAGGAGGTAGACCTTGTGCTGTTTGCAGAGCAGGAGGAAGTCTAGACTGATATGGCTGCCATGACCGTCAAGAATTAGGAATCGGTATTGACCATCTGCTGGCGCTGTCTCAGGGAGAAATATACGCTGTAGCCACTCAAGACCTATCGCGTTTGAGGTCCATCCATTCTCAGACGTTGTATAGAGCCAGCTAGGTACTAATTTAGCTGGGAACCAGGTTGTCTGTAGGCTCTGGCCCTTAAAGATAACCGCGCAGCGTAGCTTCCGCCCTATCGCTGACACACACTCAATTATTGACACCCACTCGCGATTCTCTAGCGACTTAACGTCAGCCTTCTTCTTTGATGCTCTAGCAAGGACTCTAGTATTCGTACATACGCCTAGGGCGATCCCTGTCTCATCCATATTATATGTATTCTCTGCCTGTATACCGAGGCGCTCTCGCGTCTGCTCATAGTGCTCAAGGAACGCGCGCAGCTGATCTGACGTAGACGCCTCAACTCTCTGAGCGTCGATCTTCCGGCCGATAACTGAGGCGACGCGTGGCTGGCGCTTAATGAAGTAGGAGACCTAGAGCTTGCCAACAGGCTGAGCGTCGCCATTTATACGCAGGATTCGATTCGCCATTTCTCGCGCGCGCGCGTGTGGAGGGGGGTAGCCGCGAGCGTCCTCTTCGAGGATCCAGTCAACGAGGAAATCCTCTTGTAGAGGGGTCAGCCGCTGCCGGTGCTGATGGCTAATGCGTCTGTTGGTGACGCCATTTAGGCGCGTCGAGAGAGTTGACCGAGGGATACCGTACGCCTTAGCTGCAGCTCGCTGGCTAGAATAAACACCTGTGTTGAGATCGCTGATAGCTGATTGTAAGGCTGCTTCACGAGCGTCCATATTGTAAAGCGTTGTTGAGAGATATAGCGTGTTTTGTGTAGGTGTCTCGTTTTGGTGGGGTGGCCAGCTTATCTATGGGCTAGCTTAGTGGTGCGGCGCTTTGGCCGATGCGGGATTGATTCTGCTCGAGCCACACTCTGCGCCACACACTGGCTCATTAGCGCGGGTACGCCCAAGAAGTTCGTACTCACGTCTGCTTCGATCTAGCGTGTCTTAAACTCATGGCGCATACAGTTATACAACGATTGGGATGGTCTCTAACATCAAAACCCTCGACTGCAAAGACGTTGTAAGGCTTGCCGATCAGGTAATGAAGCTGTAGCTGGAGCGTCTGCGACTGCTTTTCAGCCTTGTTCCTAACACGGAAGAATAAACTGTGCGCTTGGCGGGTTTTCGCATCTACGGAAGGTGTCAGCCTTCTGTTCGGTGTATGTGACGCTGCGTCTGAACTGTAAAATACCTCTACTCTTCCTGTCGTGCACTTTCATGGCTGCTTCTGTCCAGTTGTGGTGAGCTAACGTCTGAGCTTGGCATGTATGCCTTCCGCGCTTTAGGTGTCCCTGTCGCGTCTCCACATCATCACGCAACACCAACAGCAGTAACAATCACACGCAACTCTTCACCACTCAGAAATGGCTGTAAACTTCGGATGCGTCCTAAAGCCTGCTGACTGTGAGGACAGATTGCCACTCGTTGATGATCAGACGCAGCCATCCAGTCAAGATGATCCAGCTTTGCTTCTGCGAAGGCAGAGCTCGATTTTGCAGTGCTGCGGTCAGTGGCGCCTGCAGTGTACCAACCTACAGCCAGTGAGCGGAGGCCGTCTTCCTGGGGAACACGCGGTCGAGAGGTTAGGCAGATTCACGCGTAACACAGCTGGATCTGCTGCACAGCTTTGCGCTTTTGCAATAGCACAGCCCCAATACCCCGACGCGGTCAAAACGCGACCGTGATCGCTTGTTGTTCGAGAGCCACTGCTCGAGAGGTTTCTTGGCTGCGCCTAGCGGTGCCAACACCACAACCTACCAAAAGGTATGCTGAAAGTGATCACAATATTATCCCTCGTCGGCGCACTAATGCATGGTATAGCTTATCCAGTCTTCAAGTCCCGCAGTGGGAACTGTCCTTGGCCTCTGATATGGAAGTCGCCGGCGTTGTCATAGGTGCTGTTGCACTCATCGGAGTGTTTGAGGATTGCATAGAGCTCTTTTCCCAGATCGGCGCCGCCAGATCTATGGAGAATGACTACATACTACTCGCAACGAGACTCGATCTTCAAAAGGCTATACTACTGCAGTGGGCAGAACGATTGAGGCTCTACGAGGCCAAGGAGCACGATACACGATTGGACGATCCGATGCTTGGACCCGTCATTCACAAAGGTCTTGACTGCATCCGCCAGCTTCTACAAAACGGAAATGTATTACAGCAACGGTACGGTGTAAGACCGACGGATTCCCACGAAACGACTGATCCTCAAACAGTGGTTAGTGGCAGATTAATGTCCCAGATGCGGGAAAAGTCGCTGTGTTTTCGTTCGCGGCGCAAACCATTGACATCACAGCCTGATCAACGCCGGCTCCCAAATCATTTGCTAGGCCAAATTCGCAAGCCTAAGAGACAGCGATCTGATGTCGAACTGTCTCAACCCCAGAGCTCTAACCAGTACCCAGGCGATGATTATACGCCCAAACGTGCGCGATGCAGTTCCAGAGATCAAAACGACCCCTTACATCCGCTTCCCGATAGAGACTACATGGCCAAACCCTCCCGCCTGGACAGGATCATGTGGGTTATCAAAGACAAAGATCAATTCGAAGGCCTAATTCGAAAGTTATCGGATCTTATAGCAGACATAGACAAAGCTGTGCCACCCCGAGCCGGCGAATTACCTACTCGTGCTCTGTTAGAGTACGAGATCCAAGGACTGAAGAGTGTCCGCGAGTTAAGAATCATCATGCATGCTTCAGGAAGCGACAATCGTGATCTCGCCGGCATCACCCAACAGACTATTGATCGACAGTGCGCGAAGTTGATTCTCAACCGCCTTTGGTTCCGTCTTATTGATGACAGGAAGAACAACATTGCTGAAGCCCATCTCCACACTCTCAACTGGGCTATCAATCCGCCCGCTTCCGACGTTGTCTGGGATGACCTGGGTGAATGGCTGCGATCTGGACGAGATTTCTACTGGATATCTGGTAAACCAGGCAGTGGAAAATCTACACTGATGGTACGTAACGTCGCATCGACTGTGAGTGCTACAAAGAACTCTAAGAACCAACATTTAGAAATTTTTGTACGGTCATCCCAAGGTTATATCTGACTTGAAGATATGGGCGAGAGGCAGGCAACTGACAATGGCGCCATTCTTTTTGTGGAATATTGGATCTGTCGAGCAGAATTCGCAAGAAGGGCTTGCAAGAGGACTACTACATCATGTGCTGACAGAAAACCCGACACTGATTTCTACGGTACTTCCAAATATGTGGCAAGAAGCACAGAGTGGTAGTGTTGACTTGCAACTTCCCACCAATATCGAAACAAAGACAGCATTCCAGCGACTCGGCGCAGCGACAACGACCGGAGCTTTTGCTTTCTTCATTGATGGTCTTGATGAGTTCACTGGCAACCCTCGAGATGGAATCTCATTTGTGAAAAGCCTAGTCACCAGTTCGAATATCAAGATTCTGGTCTCAAGTAGACCCATCGATACATGCGTAGCAGCCTTCTCCTCGGCTCCTACGCTGAGACTACAGGATCTCACGAAACCCGACATTGAGATGTACATCAACGACATTGTACGATCACACCCTTACGTTGCCGATTCCAATTACCTCTGCGAAATGACTGTGGAAGGTCTGATAGATGACATACGAAACAAAGCGAACGGTGTATTTCTATGGGTCGTACTTGCCTGCCGCACTTTGCTTGAAGGTTTCGAGGCATTCGACAACGCAGAGGAGCTTCAACGTCGCGTGGAAGAGTTGCCACCGGAACTCGAAAGTCTCTTTCGCCACATACTCAACAGTCTTCCCCCTCGTTTCCTTCAACAAGCTGCCAAACTCCTGCAGCTTTGCTATCTTAGGCGCTATCGGCTGAGTTCCGAAATCTCAGCTTTTACGCTGGCCTGGGCTCACGAGAAAGATATGAAGTTGTGCGAATTGGACAAATTTTACCCAGTCAAGCACTCTGACCGGATTGAAAAATGTGTAATGTTGGAAGGCCGCCTGCGTAGTCGATGCAGAGGACTCCTAGAGGTTCAAAGAGACCCCAAGTCCAAGATACCCATCAGCGTCGACTTCATGCATCGCACGGTGTTCGAGTTTCTCGATACCCCAGACGTTTGGACATTGGACTGTATGCATATCGACGACCGACAATTCGACGCTACTACCGTTCTGGCTTACATGTCCTGTTATGATCTGTTTCTTCAGGATAAAAGCATAAGACATGAGAAGAGATTTGCGCAGGAGACCTACTACTGTTTACAGGAGGTGCAGAACGACTCACCATGGAACTTGCCGCACCTACTTAACCGTGTAGCATTTGCATTCATGCGGGAGCGGGGCAATGCGGAGCCAGTCTTTGGCCCTAGTCAGGACATCTTATCTCTAGCCGATGCATCTATTCTGCTGGCCGTCGAGTTTGATCTGACTTCCTTCTTCAAGGATTATGATGAAAGCAGATTGGACACCGAATACGCATTGGGATCCCATGGAATGTCTATAAGAGTGCGCTTCAATCTCCTGTATCATGCACTCGCCAAGCCTCTTATGTATGGTATTCTGGACTTTGCACGCGACACGCCATGTTCGACAGCCATCGTCGATCTTCTCCTTCGATCAGGATGTGATCCAAATGGATCTCTCGTTAGACTATACTATCATCTCGTCTTTGATGACAATATGGGAATACCTAAGGATTCATACACAACTCCGTGGGATGAATGGATGAATTCTGCCGAGGGTATCTACTTGGGCTACGCGAACGATGATCCTCTGTCCGGAGAGGAGGTCTCAGAGCTCGCTCTAACAACCGTACTAATGATTCGAGCTGGTGCAAATATTGTTGATCACCGAAATAAATTGAGAGAGACCGCTGAGAGCTGGTTAGAGATTGTGAAAGGTTCAGAGAATTCGAAAGATCGAGAAACGAGAGAATACTGCAATGAGATCGTGGAAGCAGCAACGACAGACTCTGAGGATAACTCGAGCATATCGTCGTCGAACAGCGAAGAGATTCTAAGCGCAACAGATACCGATCACGAGGAGGATAATCCGAGCCTACTGGTGTCGGACAACGAAGAGATCCCAAGTGCAGCGGATACGGATCTTGAGGAGAATGACCCCAGTAGGGTGTCGACTGATGGTGAGGGTGACTGGAATGCAGTAGCGGTTGGAAGTAAGGACGATCCCATTCAAATCGAGTAAAAACCCGTACTTGAATGAAGCTTGATATGTCTTGTATATATGTAGATTGGTTCCCCGCATCTTAGCTGTGATCAGACCGATCGTATACCTCGTCTATTCCCAGAACGGCTTGCAGGTGAGATTGAACGGGCAATTGCGGCAAATCAAGAGCGTAAATCCGACCGAGAAAGAGGCTGCCAGTCCTTTGTCGTTGACAAGGTGTTCAGTGTCAACTAAGAGTCTATGGTACATCCCTTGATTATCCATGACACAGAAACTACGAGCCATGCACACTTTCCGCAATGCATAGTATACTCTTGAGTAGCTTCTACTAACACCAACGATCAATCACGACACCTGAAGTGCCTGCCAACATTGCCCGTCGGCTTCCACCCTAGAGGAAGGAAGGTTATAAAGGTTTGTTGTTTTTACAATCAGCCGATCTAACTGTGAGAAGGTACCATCTCATGTATTGTCGTTTGTGCTTACCACACCCACTAGTGTATTGCCCATATAAAAACACCTCCATTCAGTCCTGAACACTTCTACTCCAACGCTCACTTCCAACCTCAAAGGTTGTACCATTTCATTGCTACTCACATCCACCATGCATATCGTAATCTTCTCAGCACTCTTCTCGTATTTACCTCCATCATTGTACCACTGTTCTCTTTGCCAAAACTCCCCTTGGGGCCAGAACCCGCAAGCATATTGCAGTCGCCTGGCGGAACAAACTCTCGACTTCAACATGCATTCTCATTACAATAAAGACTGTGTCGACGACAACGTCATGTCCTCTCCAATCCTCCAATTCACCAGAGCCGAACAACACATTCGCTACCAGTTCGGCTATGCTTGTTCATTAGTTCACCACGAACGGGTCAAAGCCGGAACCATGGTATACAACATCGTGCCATGACGAATACGCACATTCGTTTTCGTAAGCCGCTACAGCCCTCACGTACATACCCCCACGGCATTGAGCTCTAGCAAAGTGACTTACAAGCACCAGTATCGACAGCAAGCTTGGACTTGGCCGTCGTTTGCAAGAACCTACGCAAGCTCGACATGACCTTCAATGTCGACAAGGTAAGCATATGCAACGATTCCACTAATCGCTTCCCCTTCCTGAGGTCATCAATCGCTTCAAACTGGAGACACTTTTCGACTGTAGTAGCCTGGAGGAAGTGTATATTGACGGCATATACGTCCGACCATCGCTATACGATACGATTGAACCCTAACCTTCACTTCCCGCCGAAAATCACCTCCAATGGCATACTTGGTCTTCGAGCAGATATCCGGTATCGACCATTTCTTCAAGAGCCAGCGCGAAGCTATGCGCTGTATCGAACGGTATGCTTCCTGGTCCCAAGACATGCGGAGCCTATTCACTCAAAGTGGAAAAATACTATACGCCGCACGCCATTCACATCTACTGTGTCAATGAGCAATGTCGCTTATTCATCCCGAAAAGCTGTGTGGAAAACAATCATCTATATGATGCGACAATGATCGACTTCAATGCCATTGCCGGAGCTGCTACCTCCGCTACGGCCTGGGTCTATGGACTGAAATTCCACAAATTCCTCGATCTACCACCCGAGCTACGCCTCAATGTTTATACCCATTCTCTATCCACGGTCGCACGCTGCGGATGCGAAACCAACACCGATTCGGTCGGCACGATTCTCACGAGATACGACATTGAACCTACACCAAGGACCAGTGATCAAAGCCTTACGAAGATCATGGAGGTCTCTTCTGCGAGGACTTCTTTCGCTTGTTCGATAGAACCGTTGCAACGAACTAGAGTCTCAAGGAGCGACTCATGGCTTTGTTTAGGGTGTAGGGACGCAAGTATGGCTATCATCTCATCCGTCGTGAAGGCGGTTTCGAGCCCAAATTATGTGTTTCTCAGCCTTTCCTTGTATGCCACTGCGGATATGCGCCGGGATAGTCTGTGATGCATACCGCGTTGGATGGTATCAGAAGATGCGACATCGATCTCGATAACGATAAGTTGGCGACCGGGATGTTGGCGATGGCGATGGCGACGTCTGCGAACAGCAGCCATAGGTAAAATAGGAATTGAAAGGCCCGCGCGAACGCCCCCAGAGTTTTTGTTGATCTCACTCTCTCGTCGCGGGTCATCAAACCAGAAAACCTCGACGACAGCCGAAAGGTCAATCATTACGCTCGCACTGGAAGTCTCGGTGATTGCTTTTCACCATACCTTACCATGTTCCTTCACGCTTTCTCGAACTGCACGACGGGACCTTCAAATTCGTAAGAATAAGGAAGAGGCCTACTCAAAACTAATCCAGAGTTTTTGGCCAAACTAGCCCCCTGTTGGGGTCTACCGCAACCTTCGTGGAGAATTCCTGAAGATTTACAGAATCGATAACGATTTCAATCGGTACAACGCCTCTTAAGGACGTCAGGTTCACACAATGCCAACAAGCTCTCGTTAAATGCGCCCAGGATGCTCTGCATGACCACGAGCTTTCGAGCGCGAGCTAGCCTGTGTGCATTGCCACTGCGGTCATAGTATCTGGTATCAATACGGCATCATTGGAGAGCTGTACAATGGTCGAAGTGGCACTGCCGTGCAGGGACAAATGTGGAAAATGGACCGCTCACCCCGTCGACCACGTCTGGTCCTCCTCGCCCGACGTGTCCCGATTCTTACTCCGAATCCGCATCCTGAGAACAGCGTCTTCAGCGGAGGTACTCCAAATTACAAGCAGCTGGAATGTCGTCACTCGTGGTACCTCTGCAAAAGATCCGGCCGTTCGACAAGATTCCTGAAGCGATGAATATAACGCTATGGACAACTTAGATTCTAACACTTTCGTCCTCTCCGAAAACGACCCCCAAGAACCTCAGGCGAGGTACAGAGAGTACACACTTCAACAAGACCTTTTAGCATGCAACAAGCAGTACACGATGTACCCAACCTAGATCAAAGACCAGTCATCCATGGCATCGCTGCCGGATAGACAGACTACCCCGACAAACCCAAAGTACGGCGTTGTAGAATCCCCCTTCACCACTTCACAGAAACTCGAGTTCTCAGAAACAGATCGCGATAACCTGGACTGCTGCAAACAATCCTATTGCAAGTTCACTGAGCATCAGGGTGCACATGAATGGATAAGTGGTTGTCCAGGCCTTCCTAGGATCACCGAAGAGCTATCTAGCCACAACGCCTTCCGACGCTCCGGCCGCGTGGCCATCGAGGCCCTTGGAATGGCAATGCACCAGGCCGCGACGGCGGAAATGGCGGCCTCCCGCGCCTGGCAGGCTGGCCATTTGTTTACTGCTATGGTGAAGACACAGGCACGTCGAAGAAGCGGAGGAGGTTCACTTCGCTGGCGTCATATCACCATCGGCTCTCAATTCTGTTCTTCCTTCTTCGCCAAACTTTACGGGAGCAAGCAACGCTCGTTATGTATTCTTTCGCTATTCTTTCACACTCTTACATCTTGCGTCCGGTTCCTGTGTTGGGAAAACCGATGTCGGGACGTCTGCGTGCTCTTCTTACTCACGACGAAGTATATATGGGTCGTGTCCCATCTTAGCTAGCTTGGTAGGCTTATATATGCGATTATATCCTCCTACACATTCTGCAGCCGGCAACAATGTCTCTAATGTGCCTGTACACTGATTGCACTTCAAGATTCGCGCTGGAGAGAAGTTCGTGTTGTCTCTTTGACGTTGGTCGGCGTTTCCATAGCTAGAGGAAAGAAGTCTGTATCGTCCATAGGATGAATGACATGCACAAGTTCATTTACAAATTATGTAAAATGTATTGATGCTAAGATAGGTATTTATGTATCATCTCAAAAGTAAGGATCTTCCAAAAAAGAAAAGAAGAAAAAGAAGACGTCAACCGACGGACAAGATATCATCATGGTCGTAACCAACAACACCTTTCCCCGACCATGAAATGCATCTCAAGACACAAAAAAGGAGGAAAAAAACCACAAGGTATAACAGTTCCCGCCACACACCTTCCTACACCGCCCGAAAACACCCCCAACCCTATCCCATGCCATGAGCAGAAAAGAAAATCAAAAAAAAAAGACCAGCCGTGAACGTCTTTTATCCATCCCTATAAAACTTCTTGAAAATCAAATGCAAAAACAAATTAACGTTAACCCTCGCCACTCCATCCGCTCCACTTCCAATCATCTTACCACCACCGCTGCCAGCACCTTCTCCAAACAAGTTCATAAACTGATGATTATCAAATTGCGCCTGCAGCAGCCCATCCAGCGGCACCTCTGCAAAAGCACCTGGAATCATCATGGAACCCTGGCTACCCTGAATCTCAAAGATACCCGTCTGGTTCGACGAAATAGTAATGTCCAAGCGGTCCCACATGCGTTCGTCGTATCCAGACCACGAGATCAGGATGCCCTTTTCGGCCAAGTTCCTGGCCGAGTACTTGAACGAACCAAAGCGGTACTCACGGCCCGAGTTCTTCAATTCGCGCTGGTGGTTGTATTGGCGGGTGAAAGGGAGGAGGAACTTCTTCTTGCCCTTCTTGGACTGTAGGGTCACCATGGCTTGTTCAATGTAGTCGTTGTAACTCTTCAACTGCGATTCCAAGAAATGCGCCTTCTCGTCCAAAGCAGCCAGTGTAGTTCGTACACCCTCCAACTCTTTAGCACGCTGGATACGGCGGCGGTGCTTCGTCCGGATGTCGACTGCAATTGCATTGAGAAGATCCTGGTAGTTGTTCGTGTGGGAGATGCGGCCTGCGCGTTGGAGTTGCACCATATTCTCTAGACAGTATTGTTTAAGAGTGGGGTAGTCAAGGTCGAGGACAGAGTTGGCTCCCATGTCCTGAGTGTAGGTTGATGCGGCGGATGAGCGGACGATGTTGGATTGTTTACGTGAGCGGTCTCTTCGCTGGGCGATGATTTCTTCGTTGACGAGGGCGTCCCAGCGGGCTTCGTCGTCGGGAGTGATGGGCTTGGTCATGATTTCGGTAAGGTTGGCGCCGGTCTGGA